CACTCGGTGTCGTCGAGCTTTGCGTAGAGGTCCTGGTCGTTCGTCGCGCCCTCGCCGCGCGCCGACGAAGCGCCGATCAGGCCCTCCACCGCGTAGGTCTGGCCCTCAGCGTCGAACGGGTCGTCGCCGACCCTCGCCGGGCGCAGGGGCAGCAACGGGCAATCCTACTCGCGGCTCCTGCACCCGATCTCCATTGCAACTTCGTCGGAGCGGTAATGCCCGAGCTCGGGCGACCTCGGGTCACCAAAACACGGCTTAGTTCTCAGATCTGCGTGGCGCCTCACTCCGCTGAGCCCGCCAGTAGCCTTCGGAAGCGGCAGCGGCCCCGCAGATCGCAGCCCCCCGAGGGCGGCGAGGCCCCGCTCAGATCTGCGCCGTGCCGCACTCCGCAGGACCCGCCACCGGCCCGCGAAAGCGGCGACAGTTCCCCGGGTCGCAGCGCCCCCAAGGACGGCGAGGTCTCGTTCAGATCCACGCGGCGCCTCGCCCCACTGGACCCGCCAGCAGCCCTCGAAAGCGGCGGCAGGGGCGGTGAGGTCTCGCTCAGATCCGCGCGGTGCCTCACTCCACTGGGCCCGCCAGCAGCCCTCGAAAGTGGCGGGGCGGTTTCGCGGGTCGCAGCCCCCCAGAGACGGCGGGGCCCACCTCGGATCTGCGCGGCGCCTCAGACCGCTGGGCCCACTGGCGGCGATAGTTTCGCAGATCACAACCCCCCAAGGGCGGCGAGGTCGACCTCGGATCTGCACGGTGCCTTACTCCGCTGGACCCGCCAGCAACCTTTGAAAGCGGCGGCGGTTTCGCAGATCGCAGCCGCCCCTGGGGCCGCGAGGTCCACCTCGGATCTGCGCGGTGCCTCGCTCCGCCAGACCCGCCAGCAGCCCTCGAAAGTGGCGGCAATTTCCGGATCGCAGCCCCCCGAGGATGGCGAGGTCTATCCCGGATCTGCGCGGGGCCTCACTCCGCTGGACCCGCCAGCAACCTTTGAAACTGGCGATAGTTTCCAAGATCGCAGCCCCCCATGGACGGCGAGGTCGACCTCATATCTGCGCGGCGCCTCGCCCCGCTGGACCCCCCCGGCAGCCCGCGAAAGTGGCGTCAGTTTCGCAGATCGTTGCCTCCAAGGGGCGGCAAGGTCTACCTCGGATCTGCGCGGTGCCTCACTCGGCTGGGCCCGCCAGCAGCCCTCGAAAGTGGAGGCAGTTTCGCAGACTGCAGCGCCCTAGGGGCGGCTAGGTCCACCTCCGATCTGCGCGGTGCCTCGCCCCGCTAGACCCGCAAGCGGCCCTCGAAAGTGGCGGGGCGGTTTCGCAGATCGCAGCCCCCAGAAACGGCGAGGTCGACCTCAGATCTGCGCGGTGCCCCACTCCGCTGGGCCCACAAGCTGCCCTCGAATGCGGCGAAGGCCCCGCGGATTGCAGCCCCCCAGGGATGGCGAGGGCCACCTCGGATCTGCGCGGTGCTTCGCTCCGCTGGACCCGCCACCAACCCTCGATAGTCGCGATAGTTCCGAAGGTCGCAGCCCCCCAGGGGCGGCGAGGTCGACCTCAGATCTGCGCGGTGCCTCGCACTGCTGGAACCACCGGGAGCGCCCCAGGGCACTGCCCGCGACCGCCCGCAACAGACGCCCACCCCCAGTGGCGCAGGACAAATACTCGAAACCAAGCCCCCCCCCGTCAAGGAGGCCCGCAGAACTCGCGCAGTCGCCCAAAGAGCACGGCTGACCATATCATATTCTTTTTGGGACGCGCGCTGCACCGCTGCTGCCCCATGCCAGATTGGGGCAAGTCACTTGGCCCCTGCCAGATTACAACGCGCGACGCGCACACTCGAAAACTATTATTTCCATTGTGTTTGCGCCCCGGCCCAGCCCGGGGAGAGACCTGGCCTGTCTTCCCCCCCCATGCTCACCCCCAGCGTCAACAACGCGTTGGCGACGATGAATATCCGGACGAGGTTACCTATATTCAGAATTGCCTGGGGAAGCATCTGGGCGGTGGAAAAAAACAGCGCCCCGTGGCCAGTGGGCGCTTGATTCATTCCACGAACAAAGCTGGCGCGCGAAACCAAATGCTCGACACGACTGCGCATCGCCCCGATCGGGGAGGCCTAGGGCAAGAGAGCGACAAATAAGAGCACTAGCGAAGTTCGACTGCGCCGCAGGGCGTCTGGCGCAGTGCACGAAACCCTCGTGAAATAACCATCGAGTTCCTACGCGCGGGCCCCCCGCGTAAAAAATGATATTGGTAAGCTCCGTGGCCCGATGCGTCAACGATGGCATCGCGTCCCCCGTTTGTATACTCCTGCTTGCACAGGGCTGTCCATCTAAATTCTCCATCGGGAATACCAAGTCACCTGACAGCGCCGCAACGGAGAATGCCGCGAGCGTTCCGACTCACAATCACGAGGTCTGCTCTGGACTCGAAGCGAGCTCAGGCGGCGAAAGCCGTCTGAAACATGACAACTCCGAAAGACCATCGGGTCATTTATCGAAGGCAAGCATCCATCGCATCGAAATTCATGCGTGCAGCCTGCAGGACTCACTGAGTGTTTGGAGCGGCGCGGAGCACGTTGGTGGGTCAGGCGCGCACACATAAACGGAGAGGAAAGGAATTACCAGACTGAGAAACGTGCCTGAGCAACACAGGTACACTGCTCATATCCGTCGTGGAATCGACTGCGTGTTTGATTGCATCCTCCCTGGGGCTGTGGTCGAAGGAGCGGAGAGCCTCGATCACCCCTGTGCGCGGTTGTCTGTACCTGGACGAGCATGCGATCTCATGTGGGCATTTGGCGATGGAGTGCCGCAAGTTGCGGTAACCTGGAAAGGGTAGCATGAGGCGGGCGGCTCTGCTCAATGAACTTGAGCGGTGCCCTCTGGCCCTCCATCACTTTGGTTACGGCCCGCGTGCGCCAACTAGACTAGAGCTCGATGTTGCACCGTTAAGTGTAGGATCCGACAGCACACACACACGAGATAGCTTGCGAACTTGCCACGAAGAAGGCGGCAAAGCTGGGCGGCACGCTCAGTCTAACATGGACTCGAACCACTCGGCGCAGGCATATCATCCGACCCATATGGTCTTACGCTTGGCAGTTGGGGCGCGGAAAGGGGAAGGTGCAATGCCATCAGAGATCGCAAATCCAAACGGTGATCCAAGCTGTCCCAGGTCGCCGCCAACCGAACCCGTGCCGCCATCACCTCTATCAGCGAGATTGATGCGCCCTCGACAGACATCAATTTCTCGCTCACCATTTTCAGCTCCGATTTGTTCGCCTCGGACTTGAATGTGACCACGTCGATCTTGGTACTCTGCGGTGTGATCTGCGTCATGGGCAGCGTGCTCGCCTGGGCTGACATAGCACGTAGACGCAACACCTCGCTCTCCATGAAATTGTCGCTCGGAGGTGTTCGGAAACGTGCTAGATTGTCGCCTGCGAAAACCTCCTCGTCGGCGTCAGCGAAATAGGGTTACAAACGCCTGCACCTGCCATGGCTGAGGGAGCTGCGGGCCTGAAAGAGAAACCGAGCAAACGGACGGAAGGGCAGCAGTGTGGATGAAGGGAACAGAGGCCACGATCAGCTTTCAGGGTGATAATTGGGCGTTTGCCACTGCCTGAGAACATGCCGTGATCCAAAATAGCCAATGGAGAGCCACTTTTTGGGAACATCACGGCGTCGGATCCTTCCTCGCTGCTGTGTTGCTGCTGTCGACTGTGGACATTTCGTGGCCAATCGACGGACCGCAGTGGTCCCGATCGCGATATCCGCGGCGGGCCCGAGCGCCCAACCCGTCCCCCTACGTACTCCTCCTCCTGCCCAGCCCTCAGATCTGGGCGGAGTCATAAAAGCAGTGACGGTCGGTTGTTCAACCCGTCCGGCCGGAAGACCCCCAACAAGAACTCATAACGGAAAGCCTGCCATGGAAGATGACTCGATTCTGGGGGGACACACATCGAAAAAATCGAGGCGCCTCGTCCCCCTCCATCCTTCTTCTCCCTCCCCCGCCCACTCCTCTTCAATCTCCTCCCGCCGCCTGCCCACGTGGTCGACTAAACGGGTACCCTGGCCTTCGCAAACCTCTTTGACAAAATAACTACGACTGAACTTTCTAGTTTCGGCGCCATCGGGATCATCAAAAAACGATCTGGGATTACAAACGGGTCCCCGGGAGAACTGCATGGCACCCCGCATGGCACAAAACAACCTCCGTGTCCTCGTCTTCCTCCCCTCCTCTTTTCGCTTTGCCCCTGTCCCTAGCCTGCCTCGCCCTTGTCTCTGTACCTTTCCTGGTCCTCGTGCTCGCTCAGGACAGCCGCCACCCCTCTGGTTGGCTTTCGGGCCGTGGCTCGAGCCCCAGGCAGCCGTCTGAGAGGATCCCTGGCACCCTCCGTCTAGACTCGCTCGACCCGAAGCGCGGGCGATGCGGGGCCCGCCCTGAAACCACGGAAAGCCCAGAAAACCTGCCAAAACTCTCCAACGCCCTCCCCTCTGTAGATCGCGGCACGGATGCGCTCAAAACCAATTCCCGCACTCCTCTCAGGGACCATCCCGGCCGGCTTGCATGATGTAGTACGTTTCTCGTGTTTGGCGGCCCGAGGGCCCACAACAGTTACGGATGCTAATGATCAAAACGAGTATTGCGTCTCTGAGCGGACTCTATGTCCTCTCCAAAGATCCCGGGAGGCCTGAGAGCCACACGGGTTGAAAAGCATGCGAAAACCTTAGCCCTCGAGCCTCTACAAAATGGCCAGAAAGCCTCGAACGACGACGGTAACGACGACGTCCTCCTCGCCGGCGGAATCAACAAGAACCGGGGGAACGACGCAAAATCCGATACCATTACTCTCCAGGCCTCTCCTGGTGCGTTCTGAACATTCTTTCGAGGCACGTCCAGCCGTGGTGACGAGGCAAGAGTAGCGGTATCGGTATCACTACCTCTGAGACAGCAAGAGACGACGACGCAATCGACGAAGACCACGACGAGAACGACGACAGCGGCCTCCTCGTCGGAGTCGTCGTCCCCCTCGGCGGCGACGGGACTCTCGGCGCAGTCGGCCTCGCTGCCCAGCAGCCGCCCCGCCTGAGTTCCGTGGTCGGCTGCCGCCTCCTCCTCCTCCTCTTTCTCCTGCTGATCCTCATTGTTTTCCTTCTCCCCCCAGCTCCTTTTCCTCCCTCTCCTTTTTCCTCCCCCCTCCTCCTCCTCCTGCTCCTCCTCCTACTTTCCTCTTCCTCTTCCTCCTCCTCCTCCTCCTCTTCCTCCTCCTCCTCCTCCTCCTCCTCCTCCTCATCATCATCATCATCAGATAGTTCCTTCTCCTCCCCTCCTTCTCCTCCCTTTCTCCCCTTCTCCTCCTGCCGCCATTTGGCAGACGCTGCCGCCAACTCTGGTATAACTACACGGCAGGAGGCCGAATGCGCTCCCAACGAGGAAGCGCAGCTCTTCTCCAGCGCTTCGCCAGGCTTCGCATGAAGAGGCGCCGCCTGCAGGCGCTCAAGCGGACGGGCGCCGACATGCGTAAACTGTACCGCACAAGCCTGGACCAGGCCAACCATTACGGAACCGAGGTAGAAAGACTCACTGACTGGGAGCTGATGCAGAACCATAACATATATTTCAGTACCGTGGGCCCCAGACGCCATACCAGATCCCACATCCTCATTTGATGTCTCCTTGGGGGCACCTCATGGAAGCCAGCCTTGGGACCAATCAAGTAGTACGGCCGTTTGGCATGCGTGGATTCTTGGGGTAACGCATGCCGAATGCTGAACGAAAATTCACGACACTCTGGCCGACCTCCAAAGAAGCTGACATCTTGCCGAGGACCCATAGGAGCCACCATACTGAGCCTCACGAGATTACCTTGGATCATCAAGAACCCCATATGAGCTCGTGACCTCGGAGGGCCTGATATCGCAACTTACAACAATATCGCCGGTCTTGATGAAGCACCTCCTTGAGAAAGCCTGGACGGCGAGCCTCGAGATGCGCGCCGATGCTAAGATGGATCAGGCCAGAGAAAGGCTGGACGTCCCTGGCGCTAAACAAACCTTACGGACCCCACCTCTGCTCAGCGTCAGAAAAGCAGCTGGAGATCCTACCTTACTCAGCGCTTGTGGACTGAGACTAGGCTTGCCCACGCGGGATACGAGATTGGCATCACGTGCATATGCGGGCACGAGCGTGATGACATGAAGAGCAGGTTCGACCGCCCCCTGACCTCCAACCTCAAAAGTGAGAGCCTCCACGAGATGTTGAGCAGGATTTGGGAGGGTAACCCCTAGCAGCTCCCGTAGGCCACGGTTTCAAGTTTCAGCCCCAGGCCTGTATAGATAGACCCGAAATCTTCGGTTTCTCTTGGGAATTTTGGTCCCGAAACGGCGATCATGTTCAAATGGCGATGTCTGGAGAAAACTTCGTCGACGGATCTTGTTTCAAGCATGGACCGCAGATCCGGAATCAGACTGGATGGTCAATAGCTGCTCTTGGTCAGCATGGCGAATACTCAGCCCACCCCACTGGCCAGACAGGAGCACTGTTGCCGCCCACGTCGCCAGCCGCCGAAACTGTGGCTATGGCGGTCGGGCCCATGTGTCCCCCCCGCTACTCTCCAATCCGGACACCTCGGAACCGTAGAGAAAGATGACCTGTTGGATTTTTGAAAGACAAATTCCACCAGCTCTGTGGGGCGTAGGTGGTCTAGAAAATTTGTTCTTCCAACCCTCTTCTTTCCCTTCGGGGAAGGGTTTAATCTCTGTTCCTTTTCTACCCCCAGGCGACCGGAAGCCAACCAGGAACCACGCTCACCCCCCTACCATCCATGTCAAACAAATACAAACACCCCCACACACACACACCCTGCCTCCCAATCCGGAGCATGCGCATCCAACCCGATGCGCCCCCCCCACCATCCCTGCCAACAATCAATACAACATACATTTTGGGGCAAAGTCTGGAGTCATGTCCGTGAAGCCCACAAACACGGACGGCGGGGGTGTCAGCATATTGCCTCCTGCGCGCAGGGTTGCCATTCGCGGCTAGATCTGGATCATTCGCGGCTGCCCCGCAATCGTTTTCAAGTGGTTTTTGACAGGGACGGCGGGGGTGGTGCCGTATGGCCTGCTGCGCACAGGCCCACCAGACACAATGTTTGGGCATTAAATTGGTTTTCGACAGGGATGGTGTAGGGCGGCACGTTTTCCGATGTGGGCTGTCACGTGCGCAGGCGCACCTGACACTCTGCACGTGCCCCGAACGTGGCGCACCTGGCGCGGCTGGAGTATGCGGCGCACCTGGCGAACGCGGAGGCAGCTGGCACATTTGGCGCACCAGGCGCGCCTGGCACGTTCGGGCCTCAGGGGTGCGTGACGCGCCTGGCACGCGTGGCGCGCCTCGCCCCAAACTCGCGCACGTGGGCTCGGTGTTGGTTCCCAATAGCTGTCCAAAACGACCGCTGGACATGCTGAGGCTCGGGTGTAATTTATGTATTGGGAGGGCGGGTGGGAGCGAGCTAGGCGACTTGCTATCTGGAGGGTGTCTTGACCCTCCACTTACCCCCTCCCCTGGACCTGGACAGGGGGAATTCACGACGCACTGGGGTGTCCAAGATGGCCCAGGACGGCTCCAAGAACGCCTCACAGAGCCCAAGATGACCTCCAAGATGGCTCAAGATATCCCAAGATGCCCCAAGGTCCCCCCAGATGCTCCAAGAGGCTCCAAGAACGCTCCACGGAGCCTCTTCAGGAGGCCGCCAAGAGACAGACCCATATCCATCCGAAACCTACAGAACATAAATTTGGTTTGCTGTCTCGCCTTTTCGCTTCGAGTCGCATTCCGCGGCATCAAGACAGCTCCAAAAGGGCCCATGGGTGCCCCACGAAACGCCCGATATAGCCCCAAAACGGCCCCAAGAGCGACCAAGAGTGTTCCGTTCCAAGAGCGCCTCAAGAGAGATCCAAGAGGCGACGCTTGGGGATCCGGGGGGGGGGCGTGATTAGAACTCCCATCTTGTTTGATCGATCTCCTCCGAAATGGCCACACGAGCGCTCCCAAGGACTCCAAGAACGCCTCAAAATGGCCCCAAAAGGCTCCCTGGAGGCCCCAAGAGTCGCCCGAGAGGCCTCCAAACAGCGCTTCAAGAGGGACCCTTCCTCTGTGCTGCCCACTTCCTGGATCGAGGCAAGTCCTCTGAATATCGTCTCTGGATGGGCTGGCGTGGTTACTTTTTGGTTCGCAGGCGCGCGAAGCGGGTCGGACGCCGGGCAGGCAGGGGCAGGCTGTGCCTCCTGCGAAAGGAAAAACAACGAGCGACGCCCGCTGCGTAGCTAGACTCAGCGCGGCCAAAATGGCGCGAAAAGGCGGCGCGACACCAAGAAGACGATGTGGGTGCCGAAGAAGCCTAGCGGTAAACCCGGCGAGGATGCAGAGCCCCCGCGCTGCACAAGGATGGCGGCGACGGAAAGCCGACCCCACGTTGCCATCCCGAACACGCGGGCCTTGACGGCGACGAGAGCTGAAACAAACGCCCCTCTTACCCAGGAAGGTGGAGACGCGGGCGGCGGTGCCCCTCAAACTTGCCGAACAGGTAGGACTGGAGAGGAGGACCGAGGGAAGAAGAGAGGTAAACGACCTCGAGGCCCCAAGGGAGCGATGTCCAGCTCCGCGTAGAGGAGGACCAGGAAAAGACCGTCAGAGAACGTCCGCACGATGTAGAGGAACGCGGGCATAAACAGCAAAAGCACGACCCCTTCACGTAGATGTAGCCGACCAAATGCCCCAAGACGACACGGAAACTGTCAAGAAAACGCGACCAACCGTCACGGCGCCCCGTGCGCCAAGACACGGAGGCACAGGAGTGACCGGCGCGCCGAAACCGTGCAAGAGTGCAGAGAACCACCACTGTGCGTACCCCGAGCGCGGAGCGGTGGGCGGCCAGAGACGCGGCCGACGGCCCGCGAGAACGTCGCCAAGGAAACCATGGACGCCTTGAGCGGGAGGGCACCCTGGCGGGGTCAAGAGCAAGTCACTTTCGAACTCAGCCACCGTGAACCCTTACGGCCATCACGAGGCAGAGAAAACGAAAGGGGGGCCCCGCGACCGCCAGCGCGCTGGCAGCGCGCCAGCCGTCAGCAAGATCCAGCAGCGAGTCCAGCAGTTCACAGGAGGCCTTCTGCACGGTGCCCCAGGCCGAGACGTTGGACAGGCTGCTGATCGCCGCAAATGCGTAGAACACGAGGGGTGGGAACGGCAGCTGATCGCTGCAAATGCATAGGAAAATAATGCAATGCTTACCTCAGGCAGAGGCGTACCCCAGGCGATGCCCAGCCCCCGCCAACGGGGGCAGGCACCGAGGAAGCAGGTGCAGGTGGACACCAAGCAAGGAAAAGGGGGGGAGGGGGAGGGCGGGAGGAGACGGTAGCGGATCGTTGCAAATGCAAGACATGGATACCCCAGGCAGGACGTGTGGTGGGAGGCGCAGTGGGATGTAACAGAGCGTGCAGTTGAGAGGGGGGGGGCCTACTGACGGTGCCTTTTGTCAGTGAGGGGCCCCTCCTAGCCGTGGCTGGGTTTGCCCTGCTTGCCGCTGCGTGTGTCAGAGGCGTCCTTGTCTTATCCCTTGCCTGATCGCACGGCGCTGCCCCAGTCGTTCGTCATGTGTTCCTGTCGTGTGTGCTCAAAGTTGGCGTTGAGCCTGAGATGGTGGCTGAGTGCTTAGGTATCGTAGCCGCATTGCCGCCAGGCGTCCAGATATTCCTCGCAGGCGTCCTGAGGTTACGCGAAGCGTCAAGTTTGTATGCTGGGCTGGAGCTGCTGGTTCAGAGTCAGCATGGCAATGGGGCCCTTCCTACGATATGCAGGGTAAAAGCCCATCCAGAATCAGAAGCCCTGTCAGAGGGCTTCAGAGAGAAGAACCTGGACATGGGAAACGACGTCGCAAATAGCTTAGAAAAAGCTGCCGTTGCTACTGCAGGCGACCCGTCCGAAGCTGAGGTCCAGGTCTAGTCTGCCGATCGGGATCTTCATGATTCGGTGTGGTCGGTGTTTTGCGCAGGGCCTCCCAACTTGGCTTGCGATGGCCTCCAAACCTGGAAGCAAGGTTTGCGAAAGACCCACGGTTGAGCCTGAAGATAAGCCCATGGTGGGCGCCGACATGCTCGCCCCCCTCCTGCCTCCGTCTCCCGACACCCCCCCCGTGGGCCCTGGGGCCGAAGCTGGCGACCCGTCAGTGGGCGACCATCAGCAAAGGCGGCGCCCACAAGTGGGCGGAATTCGAGGGCCTCTGGAAGTGTGAGCTCTGCCGAGTCTAAGCCAGATCAGAGGGCGCGAAAGCCAGACGAAATGCCCAATCCTGTCCTGGTTTCTGCTAGGCCCTCTCCCAACTTCGTAGGACAGGATAGGTAATACCATATATGATATTATCATGTATGTGTTGGACCGTCTCGACAACGAGAGCTGTGTCTTAGCTTGCTGGACCAGTGGAGCTTACATCGAGTTTGACGCCAAGATGTTTAATACTGTTACAGCGTTACATTGCTTGAAGACCTGCCGACATCCAACGAACGGAATGCGGAGCAGGCTTGTGTTGCCCCCCATCACCCTCGATAGGCTGATCAGGCAGGCGCACAATGCGCCTGGGGAGTTTGCAGCCGAGGAAGAGCAGTAGTGAAACCCGAACCCCCGTCAGTCACATGCGCTGGTCTTCCTCCCGCCCTCTCTCATCCTACCCCGTCTCCCCTGCCCTCTCCTCCTCCTCCTCCTCCTCCTCCTCCTCCTCCTCCTCCTCCTGGGGGACCAGGGAGCCCAGGATCCAACCAAACACACCCTCCACGAGGGGAGAAAGGGAAAAGACGATTGAGGTGCGAGGGTCGTTTTTGTCTGACGTGTGTTGCCCTTGAGTCCAGAGGCCTTCGCTTGACCACCCTGCGTAACAGGGGGGCGACCAACGAGACGGGCCTGGTGTTATTCG